GTTGGTTTTTGAGATAAAGCAATGTTATAAACTTAATTAGAAATAATTTTTTAACCATTAGAATTATGAAGTAACCTTTTGGCTTTTGAGAAATAAAACGTACAACAAACAGAAATCAAAATATTTTCTCACAAATTATAATACCTAACTAGGTTGACTAAGGTAATCCTTCAATAATTGACCTTAGTACATACTTAGTACTATTAATTATCATTTATTCATAGTAAAGAAAAAGGATTCTTCTTGCTATAACATGGCCAGCTATAGGGCATTTAGAATAATTACAGTGTAATTCCGATTTGCAAGTCCACTTCTTTGTCGAGCAATTTTTTAGGTGTTGCCCTTCCATCAAAGATAATTTTCCGTCAACTGAAAGACTCGCTTATTTATGAATTGATGCTATCTTGATTCGAGTCTAGAAACCGTCATCTCTTGAAGTTGTATTTCGCTAGCACAAACGGCGAGCTTATTTAGATATTATTTATCTTATCTCTGTTTTTAGTTTTGTTTATTTTACTGAATTATGGTTTTCAAAAAGCATTTTAATTTCTAATTAAGTATATTATAAACTACATTGATTTGTTACCAAAAATTAATATTTACCAATCGTTACTGGTAAAACCTAATGTGTATGGGTACCAAATTCTTATTCTAAAATCTCTAAAAATCGTTACTCCTTACATTTTACAGCTTATGTAAGTAAATCCTAAGATTTGCAGCTCTTACAGTAACATACATATGCATTTATTCTTACCTCTTTTGTTTGAGCTATCTAGGTTGATGCATCTGTAATCAATGGTGTAGTTGACATAATCAATGCCTAGTATTCTAAATATTAATGGATCGACAACATCGGGGTAAACCAGACTCAGAACACCTTCTTTATTACTACCCGGTACCCATGTTACTTCTCCTTCCCTGTTAAACCATATACCGGTGGTTAGGTTTTTCTGTATGTAAACCATATCCATGGTTACGTTGTTCGATTCTTTAAAATATACGATTTGGCAGTCGAAGTTGTTGCTGTATGTAATTACGGGATACCATGCTGACCAATTATTAGCATACTATGAGAAAAATTGATGTTTTACGTTTTAATTGTAAATAACAATTAACTTACCCGCGCCAAACTGAAATTCTGTACCGCTCTCAAGGTACCTCTGTCACTACATTGGCCTGGTGAAGTGTATTGCGAATAAGTAAATGAAATTAATGTAAGAACAGCAATCGCTATAAGTCGACGAAACATTTTTTACTTCTTTTAACTTCTAACTTCCAAAGCAAAATTATCTTATATTTTTCTGGATGTGTAGACAGGTATGCATATATATAGCGAAATTTTTCACCAAAATTAACCCAAAAAACCGTGTTATCTCTCTGTGATAAAAGAGTTACATAGCAACTGTATATTACAATAAAAATGTAGCTAATTTGTTTTAATTTTTTTGTTGTTTCGTTCTTGGTAATGTGTAATATATTGAAGTATTTGCACGTGCATGTACTCGCAGGTACTGTTCTTGTTGGATGCAACAGTGCAGGCTTTTTACGTATGGAAATAGAAAATTTTTTGAGCATTAAGTAGCTGCATGGTGAAATAACAATAAAGATACAGTAGAACCCGCTTATAATGACGTCGAAGGGGCGTCATACAAAGCGTAGTCTTAGAAAATAGACAGCTTTTTATTTTGGTTAGTTATTTAGTTTAATAGAGAGAAAAACTACAAATTGTAGATATTTATTAACAGAAAAAGAAAAAGAACGATGAATTGTAATATCAATATACATAAGAAGGGTCAGAAAAATGAGCAAAAATGTTATTATTAATCATTTGGGTCACTATAGCCAGACATGATTTCTTGAGAATCAGTCATAATAAACGATATGTTATTATAAACGGAGTTATTATATCCAAAGTTTCCTATAGAGAATTTAATATGAAAACAACACTGCAATTACTTCATATTAAGCGGTTGGTCAGTATAGGCGGAGTCATAATAAACGAATTCCATACTGCATACTAATTAATCAATAGTTAAAACCTCATTCGCTATAGTGACAGAAAGGCTTTTTACAACTGGACTAAAATTTGAATAATCCTGTTTTTAAATAGGAATACTCATCACTTTTCAGTATGGAGAATCATCTTTCACCATTTTTAATAATAAATTTTCGTGATAGACTTAACCGTACTTTTTGATTATTTGGTAAATCTACTTTGAATTTAATTTTTTCATAAGCGTTTTTGTGCTTTTCCGGGTCGTCTTCAAAAGAAAAAAGGAAAGGTGTTGTCAAAATTGGACATCAAAGCACCATCCATTTTCATTCTGGTTTCGTTCCATCTGAATTTAAGTAAAAAGTGTGAAAACGCCGCAATTTTTACTAACCCCAATATTTTATTACTTATTAGGTGTTTTCTGTGTGCTAAACCACAGTAGGGGTTTTTGGTTAGTTATTTTACTAATCGTAGGTTCTCTTTATAACTTTTGAACGAAAAAGCTGAAGTGGTTGTGAAAATTTAGGTATTTTATTGAAAGTATTTTGCGATTGCGGTATCTTAATAATAAAAACAGTTTTGTGTACTTTTTAACGTTTAAAATTTGATGTGTACTCATTTTTATACTTTTATAATCTATCAGACATATACAAAAAAGTAATGTTATTTTTTTGATATCAGTATAGATCATTTATTGTTACTAACAATAAGTCCTATCTTTAAATTAATATAAAATTCCGTAGCTCTATATAGTACAAGTTTGTGTCATGATTGTATCTAATGATATGCCAGATTGGTACAGCTGTTATCATTCTATAGACAACTTAAAAATTAGGTGTCTATTAAGTATGTTATCTGTGATTAAATATTTTATTTAATTATTATTTCGCAAAATACTCGTAAGTCTATCTATCGGCTGGTGTTTTAACATAAATTATGTTCAATTTTCGATTAGACAAACTTGGCATCACTACATAGTATAAAACAAAGTCGCTTCCCGCTGTCTGTCCCTATGTATGCTTAGATCCTTAAAACAACGCAACGGATTTTGATGCTTTTTTTTTTAATAGATAGAGTAATTCAAGAGGAAGGTTTATAAGTATAATACATGCATAATATAGTAGAGAAACACTGATAATTTTAGAGGTTTCTAATGTGATGTCGTAAATAAACACATTTTTTTGCGCTTACATTGCAAACGCTGACTGAAACCTACGGGATAGATCAAAATAATGTACTACAATATTGTACACTTTAAAAAGGTCTACAAAAAAGACTGGCATAGTATATGTCTATCTCTTAGGGATAAGAACCATTTTTTATCCTTTACTTTTTACGAGAAATAATGGCTTATTTACGAAGCGATTTTAAGCAATACAGCATTAATCCTTATCCAATTAAGTACTTTTAAATACATTGTGCATTTAATATAGATCAATATGGCCCTTTACAGCATGTAATTTAAATGAATATTTTCGAAGACACTGTCGAACTTGCCGTTGACCCTCCGGCAGTCATCAAATGGTAAAGGTTAATCCTAATGCTTGTCTTACTGGCAAGAAACTTAAAAATTCGCGATACTTTTTGGACAGACCTCGTATAATTTGCTTCTCTGCGATAGAATAAACAACAAACAGACACTGTCGAACTTGCCGTTGACCCTTCGGCAGTCATCAAATAGTAAAGGTTAATCCTAATGCTTGTCTTCGGCGATCGGAGATCCGATTAAGAGAACTGGACTAAAAGACTCTTATTGTTGTTCCCTTTGTTGTTGTCGTTGATATATACCTTAGTTACAGAACACTTATTTCTGTCTCTCTTTACTTTGCTTGTTTTTCTTTCTTTGTTGTTCGTACGATCGTTAATGTGCATGCCATCAAACGATAATAAATAATTGTCTAAATATGTGAGGGTATCTAATACAAAACGAATTTCAATGTTTTCGACTTTTTCGTTGAATACGGGCACTAAAATTAATTTATTTTGCATCCTTCTATGACGTTAGGGGATATTTAGGGGAAAATTAGACGGCTATAACGTGAATTTTTATATGAATGCCGTAAATGCTATAGAGATTACAACGAGCGGATAAGCGACGAACCTGAAAGTTCCGTGACTTATTATTTAATTATAATTGCAAAATTAAAAGTATTCTTTCTTTGCATAAGAGTATGGTAATTCTATTTAAATATTTTAAACAACAGCTATTGTCTTTAGACATTTGTAGATGAATTGTAGGTATAAGTATACCTGATAATAATAAAATAATAAAAGTGATTTTTATTTTATGACTTTTTCATGGTCATTTGCAAAGTTGGCTGGTACAGGCTTAGATAGATGCATTACTTGAGTGCTAAATTCGAAATTTCCAAAAAATATATCTTCGGATTGACTTGGAATATGAGCGTTTTCGGTGTATTGAGCACAAAATGAGGTCAAAAAAAATGCCCATATGTACCATCAAGTAACGCGTGGTACCGATTATGTACGCCAAAGTCACAGAATGAGGTTATCTTTGTGTAAAACAACAAAAACTAGCGCCTTTTATAACAAGTAAAGGTTTTAAAGGTCGTCAACACGACAACTTGCGGCTAAGGTTCCTCCAGGTTAGGATTATGAGCTTACGGTAGGAAAAGGCAGCACATGTTAATATGTTAGGTTATTTAAAATACTAAAAAGAAACTTAATTTTAATGCGATAAATCAAATATCTTATTATATGGTGTGAAAAGTTTATTTATTTATTCAAAAGTACCTAACAACCTACGCTAGGTTTTGCCCTTCTACACATGGATTTATCAAGTTAGTAATTTTATTATCCCATATGAGTTCTGATTTATCGCATTGGTACAAATTGGGGAACAAATGGAAACTAAATTCTAATTTTCAATTCTAAAAAAAGTAATTTTATTATTAAGTACTATCAAAAATTGTACAACTGTAACAAAAATGTTGAAAAATAAATACTCTGTACCTACAGTATTGATTCACAAATTAGTAAAAAATCATTAAAATGCTATGTTGCCAATTTATTTCGAAACCAGTGAGAAATCATAATTTACATTGTAACTGTAATCAGAAAACTGAAACATTACTGATTCATTCATCTTGTGCAGGATGCTGCGTCCTGTACAACATGCATCTGTTCTATTCCACCAAGACCGTTGGCTCGAACAATTTGTTGAACTGTGGCATTTAATGCTGGTGACAAGGAGTTGGTCCGGCTCATTATATACAGAAATTCTAAGGAAAATTGAATAGGTTGTTAAGATATTAAAGGGTAATGTACATCTATATATAAAATATTTAAAATTATGTAATTAATATCTACCACTCGGTTAGTATGTTACTAGCACTTATTTAAATATCAAGGTTAATAATAACGACAGTTAGTTAGAATTAGAAGTGTATTAAGGTGGTGAAACGGCATACGTTTGGCTACATATGTTCCGTGTCGCCCGTCCGATTCCGATATATTCACGTACCTACCCTAATTCCAAATTACTATCACCTCAGGATATAATTGTGTGATAATTCCGGAATTAACCGACTATCAAAATGTGTATTCAAGGTTAGAAATAACTAAAGGGCCTGCTTTCAATATCTAGAATGTATAGATGGTAGATAATATTGCATTTACCAGTAAATTTTTGTAGATTATAATGTAGTACGAGTTATTTATTCCTACACGACTGTCAATTCAATTTTCGACATAAATATTAAAGAATCATTTCTTTATTTTACCTTTCTCTTTAGTATTATTTATATTGGGTACCTACTGAATTTTACTTTTCAAAAAGTATTTTAAAAAAGTTTTAAATTTAAATTGATTGATACACAAAACGAAATTTACTTATTGTCATTGGTAAAACCTCACACGTAGTTATCAAACATTAATAGCAAAAGTTCTTACAATTACCAGCTCATATACTAAGTAAATCCTTAGATTTACAGCTTCTACAGTATAATACAATAATTATACATTTGTTCTTACCTCTCTTGTTTGAGCTATCTAGGTTGATGCATCTGTAATCAATGGTGTAGTTGACATAATCAATTCCAAGTATTCTAAATATTAACGGATCTCGAACATCGGGGTAAACCAGACTTAAAACACCTTCTCTCCTACTACCCGGTACCCACGTTACTACACCACGTCTGCCAAACCATACACCTGTCGTTAAATTTTTTTGTATGTAAACCATATCCATAGTTACGTTATCTGTTAGGGCAAAATTTACGATTTGGCAATCGGAGTTGACGTATGTGTATATAGGATACCATGACGCGTTATTTCCTGCATACTTAAAAAAAAAGTTGATGAAACAGGCAAATGTCTTGTTTTTTATTTGTAAATAACAATTAACTTACCCCTGAAAAACTGAAATTTTGCACCGCTCTCAAGTTAGTTCTGTCACTACATTGACCTGGTGAAGTGTATTGTGCATAAGTATATGAAATTAATGCAAGAACAACGATCGTTATAAATTGGCGAAACATTTTTACTTCTCTTAACCTGTAACAACCAAAGCAAAATAATCTTATATTTTTCAGGAGGTACATATATCCATATCCATATATCCATATATGTATATATTTATTTCCGATGATCGCGATCGTGNAAACTTTTCATCCTATATAAACAATAATCTTCAGCGTTGGTAAGCTAATATACAAATTGTAAGTTTTATTTAAAACTTTTGAATCGAATAAGTTGAAGCCGTAGTAAAGTTTTAATTATTTTATGTTTCTTAGCCGTCATATTGGATTTAACGTGACCTATATTACTCGAAGGGTTCATACAATCCAACGTCATCTCATATGTCCTTATTTGAAGTACTTGTTTTTGAAGTGAAACTTCTTTACGCACGGTAGGGTAAGTTCGTTTCATGCTAGTTGCTATGTAACGAAATCGTGCAACGGATGTCCCCTATTCTACTCGGCCACTTAGTCGAGTCCGTAGTGGGGATCGCTTGACCCGTGAGCGCGCTTCAATGCAACGTTCGTTACAGGCAACTCCGGCATGTATAGTGTAAAATTTGAATTCATAGTGTACAAATAATATCATTAAACCAATTCCTTAACCCCTATATATCCCGGTATGTTTGTGTGTTTTAAGAAGTTTCACTTCAGTAGCGTGTTGTATAATTACACGTTGTATTTTTTTTATTTTTATAATTTTACCAATATGAGTTGGTTAATGCAAAGATTGATGTGATATAACTCGAAACAATTTTTCGGACTTTTACCGTTAGAGTTTTTTTTTAGGTTTTACCATTGACGATTAGCACCTAAATGTTGGTTTTTGAGATAAAGCAATGTTATAAACTTAATTAGAAATAATTTTTTAACCATTAGAATTATGAAGTAACCTTTTGGCTTTTGAGAAATAAAACGTACAACAAACAGAAATCAAAATATTTTCTCACAAATTATAATACCTAACTAGGTTGACTAAGGTAATCCTTCAATAATTGACCTTAGTACATACTTAGTACTATTNCAAACAATTTTAAATTAATATAAAGATCCGTATCTATATGGTACAACCTTGTCATGATAGTAGGTAGGTATCTAATGATAAGCTAGTTCACTACAGCAATTATCGTTGCGGTGTCAACTTGAGAATTACGTAGTATATCTGTTAATTATGTAACAGAAGTGGTTGTGATTAAATAATTTTATCTAATGATTATTTCACAAAAATACTCGTAATTATATCGACCGGTAGGTAGTTGTAACTGTTACTTTCGAAATTCGGTGACCTTCGGTAATTATCAAACAGTCTGATACCTAGCGAATTTTTCCATTGAATATCGGCACTAAAACTAATTTATTTTGCACCCTTATATGACATTAAGGGCGAATTAGTGCACAGTAACTTAAAGTTTTGTACGAATTCCATAAATATCATGGAGACTACAACGTGCGGTTAAGCGGCGAACCCGACGGTTCGTAACTTCATTATTGTAAGGTTACGGTAGGAAGAGACAACACAAACGAACTGATGGTATCCTAGGTAGCTTAAGGACACATTTTTATAGTCAAATTCGTATTAGTCACTATTTACAGAATTCCAAACCAATCCAAGAAGAAATACAATTTTCGGGTCCTAAAATTCTAAATATGCCGAAGTAGAGGATAAACCTAGCAAGAAATTAAAGGTTAAACTAAAATATTTTATGATCAATATTAATACACGTTATAAGCAAGGGCGGGTTTAAATTGGTTTGCGCCCCAGGCCCGTTTCGAATTGACGCCTTCCTTGTTTTGTAAAGATATCGATTTTGTTTTATAGTCAACTGTAATTATATCCTACATACATCAGTATTGTTCATATGTTATTTTCAAAATGATAAGAGGAAACTGAATTTTAATGTGTCAAATCAAATCTTATAGGGGGTGAGAAGTTACTTATTCATTCAAAAGCAAAAACCGACGGGACGTTCGGCCCTTATTCAGTTTAGTTTTCTTTTTTGATTTGTCACATTGGTATATATGAAATGGAAACTAAATTTTAATTTTCAATTTTAAATAAAATAATTTTATTATTAATGTGAAAATAAATAAAAGTAAAACAAAAATACTGATATGCAAGAAGAGAAAAAGTAGGGAAAGATAGGAGACGAAAAATTAGAAGAAGTGACTGATTTTAGGTATCTAGAAGTCTGATAAGTCAGGACGGAAGGAGTACTAGGGGTATAAAGCTAAGGATAATGCAGGGTCGAACCGCCTTTACTGCTCTCTAACAGTTAATTTAGAAATTGGAAAAAGATTGCTGAGGGTGTATGTTCAGAGCGCGGGGCTATACGGTGTGAAACATGGACGGTGGACCCTGCGGAAAAGAAAAGGTTATAAGCGTTCTAAATGTGGTGTTACAGGCGAATGATGAGGATAACGTAGATAGAGAAGGTTAGAAATGAAGAGGTTCTAGAAAGAATAGAAGAACAGAAGACTCTATGGATGTCAATAAGAAATAGATGGGTTGGTTGGACATCTTTTCATGCATGTTCTAGTCAGAGACATATTAGAGGCAGAAAAGGGAGTTAGAAAGGGTAGAGGTGGATCTAGATTAGATTACTGTTCAAAAATAGTTAAGGATGTGGTTTGTTCTAGTTTTAGGGAAGTGCGAAGATTAACTGAGGATAGGAAAGAGTGGAGGTCTAACCAGTCTTAGGATTGGCGACCTTATGATGATATTGTTTCGCAAATTAGTAGAAAATATTTTGGATGCCATTATTGGTAATGTATTTAAAAACCATTAAGAAATTACATAATAATTCAAATTGCAATGGTAACTTTGATTCAAAAAAACTCATTTATCTTGAGCAGGATACTGGGTCCTGGACAACATGCATCAGTTGTATTTCACCAAGGCCATTAGCTCGAACAATTCGTTGAATTGTAGCATTTAATGCTGGTGACGAGGTGCTCCTCCGGCTCATCACATACAGAAATTCTAATAGAAATTGAATAGTTAATTAATATACGTATTAAAGAGTAAGACGTCTAAATCAAATATTTAAAATTGCAACGTTAACATCTACCACTCGGTTAGTAGGTCAACTAGCACTCATTTAAATAGCAAATTGTGCAGCTACTTCATCTGATGATACCACTTTCTGGAATTAACTGACTATCAAAATGTGTTAAAGATAAAATTTATCTGAATGTGCCTCGCATTGTTTAACACAATGACTTTTATATCTATCTATCTGTCTATCTATCCATAAAAAAATTGTTTGCCTATACGTTAAACAAAAACATTTTTCCAACAGCCGAAACTCAATTTTTTTATTTTATCTCTCTCTTCGATTTTGCTTAATGTTACTAAATTTTATTTCTCAAAAAGCATTTTAAAATAGTTTAAAATTTTCTAGGTAATTTGACTCACAATTATTGTAATTTTTAATTAAAAATTTCTAATTAAATATACTATATATTATATTGAATTATTCCCAAAACCAATTTTACCTAGTTATAGGGTTGTTCGGAAAGTCATTTCGTTTTTTTTTTGTGGAAATGAAAGACAGTTTTCGTATAATAAACAAATACTTTATTAAATTATATATTGACCGTTCTGGTCCAACACCTTTTGCCATCTTTCTGGTAGTAGCATAATTACACGCTCATAAAATTTTTGGTCTTTGCTGGCAAAAAACTGATCGAGGAGGTTTTTGACCTCCTCATTTGAGGTGAAGGTTTTACCGTCTAAAAAATTTTGGACTGACCGGAACAAATAATAATCCGATGGTGCCAGGTCTGGAGAATATGGTGGGTGTAGCATTGTATCCCATTCAAGCTGTAAAAGCTTTTGGCGAGTGACCAAACTTGTGTGAGGTCTCGCGTTGTCTTGGTGAAACACTACACCTTTCCTGTTGATTAGTTCTGACCTTTTCTGTTGAAGTGCATCATTCAGTTTGTCCAGCTGATGACAGTAGACTTCCGAATTAATCGTTGTGTTATCCGGTAAAAGCTCAAAAAAAACGATTCCTTTAAAATCCCACCAAACAGACAGCATCACCTTTTTTTGGTGAATATCGGCTTTGGAAATGGTTTGAGCCGGTTCATCTTTTTTGCTCCATGACCTCTTGCGTTTGACGTTGTTGTATACAACCCATTTTTCGTCCCCAGTGATGATGCGCTTCAAAAACGGATCATTTTCGTGACGTTTGAGAAGCGAATCGCAGACGTCAATGCGGCGACACAGATTTCTCTCTGTGAGAACATGGGGAACCCATACATCGAGCTTCGAGGATAATCCCAGGCCTTTCAAGTGGTCATAAACTGTTGAATTTGATAAATTTAACCTCAATCCGATCTCACGTGTTGTTATTCGCCGGTTCACATCAACTAATGCCTTTATCGCGTCTTTATCAGCTTCAACCGGCCTTCCCGAACGTGGTGCATCTTCGACATCAAAATTGCCGGATCGAAATTTAGCGAACCAGTTCTGGCACTGGCGTACTGTCAACACACCTTCTCCATACACATCAGTCAATTTCTTTCTGGCTTGAACAGCATTTTTACCCTTTCTGTAGTAAAACAGTAAGATATGTCGAAAATGCTGCTTATCGCTCTCCATATTTAAAAGGGCACCAACCAAAAACTACTGCGTAGAATTAATTGGAATTTTTCACACACAAGCCTTGCTATATGAGCTCTCAAAGCATATAAAAATTATACGGCTTAAATGTGAAGTTGGGTGCAAAAGAATACAATTAAATCCTCTGTCGGGAAAAAACGAAATGATATTCCGAGCAACCCTATGTAATCGGTAAAAGACAACATAGTAAATTCTAATGGTAAACGCCCGAACACGATACAATACCATACGCACATTAATAATACAGAATATATACTCTTATTCTTACCCCTTTTGTTTGAACCATCTACATTGATGCATCTGTAATCAATGCTGTAGTTAAGATAATCAATTCCAAGTATTTTAAATACGAATGGATCAGCAACATTAGGGTAAACCAGACTCAGGACGCCTTCTCTTTTATTACCTGGTACCCATGTTTTTACACCACGTCTGCTAAACCATAAACCGGAGGTTGAATTTTTTTGTATGTAAACCATATCTACAGTAACGTTACTCGTTAGAGCAAAGTTTAAGATTTGGCAGTCGGAGTTGATGTTCGATTGTACCATGTACCATGACGCATTATTATTTGCATACTGTAAAAAGGAAATTTTAAATGAAGCAGGTAAACGTTTTGTTTTTAATTTTAAACTAGCGACCCGCCCCAGCTTCGCACACTTAATATACTATTGAATGTCTTTATATACAACATTTACAGCTTTTTTGTCATTAGATAATACAAACCGGCCCCCCGGCCGGTACCGCAGCAAACCGCATGTCCCTGCATTTTAAATCTGTAATATCTTCCAAAATATTCATTTAAATTACATGCTGTAAAGAGCAATATTGATCTATATTAAATGCACAATGTATTTAAAAGTACTTAATTGGATAAGGATTAATGCTGTATTGCTTAAAATCGCTTCGTAAATAAGCCATTATTTCTCGTAAAAAGTAAAGGATAAAAAATGGTTATTGTGGGTTATCCCTAAGAGATAGACATATACCATCCCGGACTTTTTTGTAGACCTTTTTAAGGTGTACAATACTGTAGTATATTATTTTGATCTATCTCGTAGGGTTCAGCCAGCGTTTGCAATGTAAGCGCAAAAAATGTGTTTATTTACGACATCACATTAGAAACCTCTAAAATTATCAGTGTTTCTCTACTATATTATGCATGTATTGTACATATAAACCTTCCTCTTGAATCACTCTATCTATTAAAAAACACCGCATTAAAATCCGTTGCGTAGTTTTAAAGAACTAAGCATACATAGGGACAGACAGCGAGAAGCGACTTTGTTTTATACTATATAGTGATGACAATTAACTTACCCGCTCCAAACTGAAATTTTGCACCGCTCTTAAGTTGGTTCTGTCACTACATTGGCCTGGTGAGGTGTATTGTCCATTAGTATATGAAATTAATGCAAGAACAACAATCGCTATAAATTGGCGAAACATTTTTACTTCTCTTAATTTCTTAACTTCAAAGCAAAATAATCTTTTTCGGAAGGAAACATATGTATGGATATATGTGTGAAGTAAAATTGTTCTTATTGTTCACTAATCCAAAATAGCGGCGTTATCTCCCAATCATTCCATAATCGGTGATGTACATTTTGTTTGTGTTTTTGTTATTATTTCCTTGAAAATATTAGATATGTTGAAGTATTTCCACGTGAAAGTACTCATAGATAGCTTTGCTTTTAATTTTCGAAATTCGGTAATCCTTCCGTTATCATCAAATAGTCTAATAGGGGTTAGGTACTAAGTGAATTTGGATGTTTTCTTAAAAAAAATGATCTATTTTGTATTCCTCTGTAACACACGAATATTATTACGAATACGATATATATCTACGAATGACACAAATCCCACGGGGACTACAACGTGCGGTTAGGCGACGAACCCGGACGGTTCGTGACTTTATTATTTTATTATAATCGCACAAATAAAAACATCATTAATTTTATTTATTCTTTGCATGAGTGTATAATAATTGTATTTAAAGTTACTGTAACAACCGTTATTGTCTTTCGCAGTTTTAATATGCATTTGTAGATAAACGAATTGTAGGTGTAAGTAGTTAATAATTAATATGGTAAGAAAACTGGTCTCTATTTGATGGCTTTTTCTATAACGGTTTACAGAGTCAGCTACTACATGCTTAAATATATGTATTGGCTACTTGCGAAATTCCCAGAAAATATGACTGCACGTCACAGGAACTTCAAACCTAGGATTGGCTAGGAATTTTTAGTTGAGAACGAATCTGGTCATCAGAACTAAATTGTAATACGACAAATGAAATTTTATATGGGGTGAGAAAGTGTTTATTCTTTCAAAACCAACAACCTACGTTCGGTTTTTATTCAAAACTTTTCATCCTATATAAACAATAATCTTCAGCGTTGGTATAAATTGGAGAAGGAATGAAAATTAAGTTTCAATTTTCAATTTTAAATAAAGTAGTTTATTATTACGCACTTTCAAAAATTATAGAAGTAATACAAAAATGATAAAAGATAAATACTATATAGGTACAACATTGTTTCGCACATAAGTAGATAATCTTTGAGATATTACAATTGCTTATTTATTTATAAGTATATTGATAATTTACATTGCAATTGTGATAAAAAAAGAAAACTGACTCAATATTGTTCATTTACATCGATAATAACTTTAATTTAATTGTAATCAATACTCACAAATTTTAACATTTTATTGGTATTAAGATTGCGAGCAGGTTGTTGCGTCCTGTACGACAGTCACCTGTCTTATTCCACCAAGACCGTTAGCCTGAAGAATTTGTTGAATTGTAGCATTTTGTGCTGGTGTTAAACTTCTGCTCCGGCTCATCACATACAGAGATTCTAATAAAATAAAAATTGATTACTTAAGATATTAAAGAGTAACGTACCTAGTCTTAATGAAATATTTAAAATTTTAAGTTAGAATCTGCATACCGCTCGGTTAGTACATATGCTAACTTACACTTAATTAAATATCGAAGTAATAACGAGAATCAATCAGAATAAGAAGTGCGGTGCAACGGCCGATGAAAATTTCTTGTATATTAAAAATACAAGAAACTTCCAATGTTTCTCTTTGATACAATTAATAATAATAGTTGTTACTAAGTAATCTACAATGATAACGCATTGCTTCAAAAGGACGCTGCGTCGGCTGAAGATTACGAAAAATAATTAAAATTACACACGTTTTTGGCTGCTTTTTATTGATTGGATATTCTAAAGGCAAAAGCCCAAAAAATCGACTTACCTCTTTTACTTGAGCTGTCCAGATTGATGCATCTGTAGTCAATGGTATAGTTAACATAATCAATTCCAAGTATTCTAAATATTAATGGATCGACAACGTTGGGGTAAACCAGACTTAGAACCCCTTCTCTATTATTACCCGGTACCCATGTTACTTCTGCTTCCCTGTCAAACCATATACCGGTGGTTAAATTTTTTTGGATGTAAACCATATTCATGGTTACATTATCCGTTAGTTGAAAATAAACGATTTGACAATCGAAGTTGTTGCTGTATGTAATTACGGGATACCATGGCGTATTATTACTTGCATACTGTGAAAAAGAATNAACGTTGGGGTAAACCAGACTTAAAACCCCTTCTCTTCTTCTACCCGGCACCCATGTTACCTCTGCTTCCCTGTCAAACCATATACCGGTGGTTAAATTTTTTTGTATGTAAACCATATTCATGGTCACATTATCCGTTAGTTGAAAATAAACGATTTGACAATCGAAGTTGTTGCTGTATGTAATTACGGGATACCATGGCGTATTATTACTCGCATACTATGAAAAAAAATTGATGAAGCAAATAAAAGTAGTGTCTTTTAATTTTAATTATTATTTATTTATTAAATACGAGCAAAAAACGTTTTATAATTTTCTATAAAAATTAACTTACCCGCGCCAAACTGAAATTTTGCACCGGTCTTAAAGTAGTCCTGTCACTGCATTGGCCTGGTGAAGTGTATTGTGCATAAGTATATGAAATTAATGCAAGAACAACGATCGCTATAAATTGGCGAAACATTTTTAGTTTTTTTTTTTACTTGTAACAGCCAAAGCAAAAGTAAAGTTATAAGTTTTAGGAGGCGTATATATATGGACGGATATTTACGTAAATATGAAGTCAAATTTTTCAGAAAACCAAATTAATTAACCCAAAAATGCGGCGTTATCTCCCGATCTGTCCTTAATCGCTGATAAAATCAGTTATATACCAATTGATTACTACAATAAAATACTGTGCATTTCGTCAATAAATTTTTGTTATGAAATTCTTAATTATACTTTATATTCTGAAGTATTTGCACGCGAAAGTACTCACAAGTACCCACCGTTACTTTCAATTTTGCTTTTTCTAAAAATTCCGAAATTAATTTACTAATTAGTTGCTCAGCATTAACCTGCATTTTTTGTAACAACTTCGTGGAATACTCCTCAATGTTTTTCGTCATTTTTAATGTGGTAGAAGTAAAGTTCTTACGCCAAATTAGGTAATTAAAATTTGATTTTGNAATAAAGTACGGTGCATTTCGTCAATAAATTTTTGTTATGAAATTCTTAATTATATTTTATATGTTGAAGTATTTGCACGCGAAAGTACCCACAAGTACCCACCGTTGCTTTTAATTTTGTTTTTTCAAAAAATTCCGAAATTAATTTACTAATTAGTTGCTCAGCATTAACCTGCATTTTTTGTGATAACTTCGTCGAATACTCGTCACCTTTTTTTCGTCATTTTTAATTCTAACAGAAGTAAATATCTTGCGTCAAATTAGGTAATTAAAAAGTTTCCTTTAGTTTGATACGCTATACAAAAAATGTTTTAAAATAAAATAATAAACTAAAAGCCCAGTACGACATTAGCTGCTCATTCAAAAATTATAAAAAAGGCAATAATTCAGAGAAAGCACCTAATATCTATTACAATATTGAGATTAATAAAAGCATAGTTGTCCCACTGCGTATATTAATAAATTTGCTTAAAAAAAAAATCGGTTGTCTGTAAAGTCGGTTTATTAACGATAGTTGAACGTGACAACGTCATAAGAAAATACTGATGGAATGGTTTCATTTTTCAAAAGAAAATTTTTATTTTATTTGTTTGATAGATATTTTGTATGGATATAGAGAAGGAGGTAAATGGAAATGTATTATTGTATAGCAGCTGTCCACGCGGACGCATCGCTCACTCAAGTAGGAGAGAGACAGATGTCGAACGCGGAGGCCGATTGTGCCTCTTTGTCGCTCGTTCCGCGCTCTCATTTGCAGTTCAAGCCTTCAATGGAACGCCTCAGAGCGAGGTAACGCCGCATGAGTCATGTTTTTTCGTGCATGCAGCCGGCTCCATCGAATTATAAGACGTTGTCACGTCAAAAAAGGTTAAATGAGATGAAATGTCTGAGTGCGGCGTTCTTATCTACTAATGTCAATGTATTGAATTTTTGAAGTTTGTTGCCATTTCAACCCGAACAATTGTATAAAGTAAGAAGTCAAGCTACGCATGGAGCAAAGTTTGTCTCTTTATATGAGATCAACAACCCACGTTTCGCTTTAAACATGAGAAATTTTCAGAGATAGGTTTCTAGGTTATAAATTCTGTGTCCAGGGTTGCGGTAATTTACTCTTGGATATAATATGGTAAGAAAACTGGTCTCTATTTGATGGCTTTTTCTATAACGGTTTACAGAGTCAGCTACTACATGCTTAAATATATGTATTGGCTACTTGCGAAATTCCCAGAAAATATGACTGCACGTCACAGGAACTTCAAACCTAGGATTGGCTAGGAATTTTTAGTTGAGAACGAATCTGGTCATCAGAACTAAATTGTAATACGACAAATGAAATTTTATATGGGGTGAGAAAGTGTTTATTCTTTCAAAACCAACAACCTACGTTCGGTTTTTATTCAAAACTTTTCATCCTATATAAACAATAATCTTCAGCGTTGGTATAAATTGGAGAAGGAATGAAAATTAAGTTTCAATTTTCAATTTTAAATAAAGTAGTTTATTATTACGCACTTTCAAAAATTATAGAAGTAATACAAAAATGATAAAAGATAAATACTATATAGGTACAACATTGTTTCGCACATAAGTAGATAATCTTTGAGATATTACAATTGCTTATTTATTTATAAGTATATTGATAATTTACATTGCAATTGTGATAAAAAAAGAAAACTGACTCAATATTGTTCATTTACATCGATAATAACTTTAATTTAATTGTAATCAATACTCACAAATTTTAACATTTTATTGGTATTAAGATTGCGAGCAGGTTGTTGCGTCCTGTACGACAGTCACCTGTCTTATTCCACCAAGACCGTTAGCCTGAAGAATTTGTTGAATTGTAGCATTTTGTGCTGGTGTTAAACTTCTGCTCCGGCTCATCACATACAGAGATTCTAATAAAATAAAAATTGATTACTTAAGATATTAAAGAGTAACGTACCTAGTCTTAATGAAATATTTAAAATTTTAAGTTAGAATCTGCATACCGCTCGGTTAGTACATATGCTAACTTACACTTAATTAAATATCGAAGTAATAACGAGAATCAATCAGAATAAGAAGTGCGGTGCAACGGCCGATGAAAATTTCTTGTATATTAAAAATACAAGAAACTTCCAATGTTTCTCTCTGATACAATTAATAATAATAGTTGTTACTAAGTAATCTACNATCCAAAAAGATCGAAATCGCGATCCGCGTCTGGCAGTTTCGACAGAATACAGACCACTTCGAATTATTTTATTCGATTATGGTAACGTGCCTATCACGTTGAGGTTAGCTACGCCGGGATTCGTTTCAGCAAGAAGGTATCCATATATTTAAATGGACCTTGTTGGAGCATACGTAATCTTAAAATGTAGCATCGTACTACAGATGGCGTTCACCGCGCCACTTGTGGTATTTTCTAATATGTGAATTGAATAGCTAAAGTGAAGTTTTAGTTTTCTTACTTTATTTTTATTGAAAACATTTTACGTTTTTCCTTAATTTATTTCGAATAGGACGGTACGGGTGCGAAACATGGACGGTGTATGTGGCGAATAAGAAAAGGTTAGTAACGTTCCAACAAGCGAATGATGAGGATACCGTGGTTAGAGAAGGTTAGCAATGAAGAGGTATTAGAAAGAATAGGAGAATAGAGGACTCTATGGAGGTCAATATGAAATAGGCGAGATAGGTTAGTAGGACACCTTCTCAGGCGTGAAGGTCTAATCAGTGACGTATTAGAGGTAGAAACGGAGCTAGGAGGGGTAGAGATAGTCCTAGATTAGATTACTGTTCGCAAATAGTTAAGGATGTGGGATGTTCTAATTTTACGGAAATGCTAAGATTAGCTGACGATAGGAAAGAGTGGCGGTGCGTGTCCAACCAATCATAGGACTGACGACCTTATGATGATGAAGTAATTATAATAATAATGAAAACGTTTGTGTATTTGTACTTTCAAACATTTACTGTCCAAGATGTCGTCACCCGGTTTTATACACAAGCATTCCAAATTTGCGTACAGGTGGAAATAAAACCCAGACAAACACAAAATGATCATCAATTCATCATACAATAAAAATAAAGAAAAATTGGACGAAAAGATTGTTGATGATGTCTATTGCCATGCGAATTGGAATACTTTGTACTTACTTACTTACGCAACGTGCGATTAAGCGACAAACCCGACAGCTCCTAATTTCATTATTTTGCATACTATAATCCATCTAATAAAAGCATTATTAATTTCATTTATTCTTTGTATAAGGGTAGGTACATTAATTCTACTTATTTAAACATACCTACTATAACAATCGTCATTGTTATGTCGCCTTTTGATTGTAGATAAATGATCTGCAGGTGTAAGAACCTACTTAATAACTTACTTTGTCGCATTTTTATGGTGATCTGCAAATAATTTTTCTTGCGCAAAATATTTCACAGTCAACATTAATGTCATCACAACCATGAGCAAATTTAATATAGATCATTCCGATTTTGACGCCCTGTCTGTTTGGTAATGATATAAATTTTGTCTTACAGTTAATCATAATTATGTACATGCGTCTGTATTGCTGATATACGAGGGTGGATTGATAAGTTTCCGGCCTAACCAAGAGATGACGCCACTAGGCCTACCTTGAGGTGACATTCTATAGTACCATCCTTGGATAGCTTGTAGCTATAGTTTCAGCCCGATCTCCTTGCTAGTGTAGGTTTGACAGCACGCTGAACAAGACGCCTCTGTGGTTTTCGTAAAAATGGAAAAGCAGGAAAATCGTGCTGTCATCAAATACTTTTATTTGAAGGGGTTAACGCCGAAGGAAATTAAAAAAGAGATGGACTCAACACTGGGGACATCCTCCCCGTCATATTCAACCGTTAAGCAGTGGGTTTCCGAGTTTAAAAAGGGTCGTGTGAGCACCTCTGATGGGCCTCGCTCAGGACGCCCCGTTGAGGTCACAACTCCAGATATGATCGAAAAAATTCATCAAATAGTGCTGGGAGACCGCAGATTGAAAGTGCGTGAGATAGCTGAGACCTGTAAGATGTCATATGAACGTGTGCAACATATTTTGCACCAACATTTGCATATGGAAAAGCTCTGTGCAAGATGGGTGCCGCGTTTGCTAACAGTCGACCAAAAATTGATTCGAAAAAACATTTCTACCGCAAATTTGTCATTGTATAAGCGTAATCCAAGCGAATTTTTGCGTCGATTCGTAACCGTTGACGAAACGTGGGTCCACCACTACACTCCTGAAACCAAAGAACAGTCTAAACAGTGGATTGGACCAGGGGAACCAACTCCAAAGAAGGCAAAAACAATTTTTTCGGCGAACAAGGTTATGGCTACTGTTTTTTGGGATGCAAGAGGTATTATATACATTGATTACCTTGCAAAGGGTAATACTATCACTGGTCAATACTACGCAGACTTATTGCAACGTTTGAGCCACGAGGTGAAAATTAAACGACCTCATCTGGCGAAGAAAAAAATCTTGTTTCATCACGATAACGCACCAGCGCACACGTCAATCGTTGCGACGGCTAAAATCAACGATCTAAAGTTTGAATTGATGCCGCACCCTCCTTACTCTCCAGACCTAGCCCCGAGTGACTATTTTCTGTTCCCTAATCTCAAAAAATGGCTTGGCGGTAAGAGATTTGCGGACAATGAAGAAGTAATCGAAGCTGTAAATGGTTATTTTGAGGAGCTTGACGAATCAGTCTATAGAGATGGCATTAATAGACTGGAACACCGCTATGAGAAATGTATCAGCCTTGGAGGAGATTATGTTGAGAAATAAAAAAAAAAAATTTTTAAAAACCTTGTTTTTCTTGGTCAGGCCGGAAACTTATCAATCCACCCTCGTAGGTATTACTTTTGCAATAGGAACTAAAAAGAAACTAAACTTTAATGCGATAAATCAAATCGTATAAGGGGTTAGAAATTGTATTATTCCTTCAAAACCAACAACCGATGTTTCGTCTTCATTCACAGAGATTTATCAAGTTAGTTCCATTGGTTACGTTTGTTATCTTTTCATGCCATATAAGCCTATATTTTTAATGTATTGCAGAAATACCATAAAAATGTTAAGAAATAAATTGTCTAGAGCATTGTTTCGTAAACTAAGTAAAAAATCTTCGAGATAATATATTTGCTAATTTATTTCAAAACCAACAAGAAATTACATTGTAATTTACGTTGTAACTGGAATCAATAAATGGAAATTTTAATTAAAAGAAAACTCATTCTCATTGCTAACAAATTGTATTTTAATCAATTTGACAATTTTTAAAGGTTTATTGATATTATGATTGCGAGCAGGTTGTTGCGTCCTGTACAACTGTAACCTGTCTTATACCACCAAGACCATTAGCTCGAAGAATTTGTTGAACTGTAGCATTTTGTGCTGCTGTCAGACTTCTGCTCCGGCTCATCACATACAGAGATTCTAATAAAATAAAAATTGATTACTTAAGATATTAAAGAGTAACGTACATAGTCTTAATGAAATATTTAAAATTTTAAGTTAGAATCTGCATACCGCTCGGTTAGTACATATGCTAACTTACACTTAATTAAATATCGAAGTAATAACGAGAATCAATCAGAATAAGAAGTGCGGTGCAACGGCCGATGAAAATTTCTTGTATATTAAAAATACAAGAAACTTCCAATGTTTCTCTCTGATACAATTAATAATAATAGTTGTTACTAAGTAGTCTACAATGATAACGCATTGCTTCAAAAGGACGCTGCGTCGGCTGAAGATTACGAAAAATAATTAAAATTACACACGTTTTTGGCTGCTTTTTATTGATTGGATATTCTAAAGGCAAAAGCCCAAAAAATCGACTTACCTCTTTTACTTGAGCTGTCCAGATTGATGCATCTGTAGTCAATGGTATAGTTAACATAATCAATTCCAAGTATTCTAAATATTAATGGATCGACAACGTTGGGGTAAACCAGACTTAGAACCCCTTCTCTATTATTACCCGGTACCCATGTTACTTCTGCTTCCCTGTCAAACCATATACCGGTGGTTAAATTTTTTTGGATGTAAACCATATTCATGGTTACATTATCCGTTAGTTGAAAATAAACGATTTGACAATCGAAGTTGTTGCTGTATGTAATTACGGGATACCATGGCGTATTATTACTTGCATACTATGAAAAAGAATTTGATGAAGCAAATAAAAGTAGTCTTTTAATTTTAATTATGATTTATTTATTAAATACGAGCAAAAAACGTTTTATAATTTTCTATAAAAATTAACTTACCCGCGCCAAACTGAAATTTTGCACCGGTCTTAAAGTAGTCCTGTCACTGCATTGGCCTGGTGAAGTGTATTGTGCATAAGTATATGAAATTAATGCAAGAACAACGATCGCTATAAATTGGCGAAACATTTTTAGTTTTTTTTTTTACTTGTAACAGCCAAAGCAAAAGTAAAGTTACAAGTTTTAGGAGGCGTATATATATGGACGGATATGAAGCAAAATTGTTCAGAAAATTAAATTAATTAACCCAAAAAGGCGGCGTTATCTCCCGATCTGTCCTTAATCGCTGATAAAATCAGTTATATACCAATTGATTACTACAATAAAATACTGTGCATTTCGTCAATAAATTTTTGTTATGAAATTCTTAATTATACTTTATATTCTGAAGTATTTGCACGCGAAAGTACCCACAAGTACCCACCGTTGCTTTTAATTTTGTTTTTTCAAAAAATTCCGAAATTAATTCACTAATTAATTACTCAGCATTTACCTGAATTTTTTGTGACAACTTCGTGGAACACTCGTTACTTCTTTTTGGTCATTTTTAATATATGAGAAGTAAACATCTTGCGTCAAATTAGGTAATTAAAATTTCATTTTGTTTGGTTACTCTATACAAAAAATGTTTTAAAATAAAATAATAAACTAAAACCCCAGTACTACTTTAGCTGCATAACAGAGGTCTATATTTAACAATTATACTAATCGTATGTACGTTCTGCCTATGAAAAGGTTTAAGTGTTTCTTAAATTGTATTTTGCATTCTATTATATGCTAAATTTATATTTTCAGAAATAATCAAATCAATATATAGTAAAAATTATTCCAAATTCGACAATCGAAAAATTGGACTAAAAGATTGTTATTGGTATTTATTACCGTTTTAGTTGAATATGGGCATTAAAACTCATTTACTTTGCATCCTTACATGACATTAGGGGATATTAGGGACAAATTAGTGGACAGTAACGCACATTTTTATACGAATGCCATAAATCCCGTGGAGACTCCAACGTGTGGTTAAGCGACGAACCCGACAATTCGTAATTTTATTATTTGACTATAATCGCGCCAATAAAGACATTATTAATTTTATTTATTCTTTGCATGAGGGCATAATAATTCTATTCAAACTCACTATAATATCCGTGATTGTCTTATCGGTTTTTGTTAGGCACTTATAGATAAATTAATTGTAGATATACTTAATAACCTACTTTGTAGCATTCTTATGATGATCTGCAAATCAGATAAATGCATTACTAATGTTTCTTGCTATGAGTGCAAAATTCAAAATTCTCGAAGAGTGCGGCTGTACCTAGTTCACAAAAACCGCAAGCCTCGAATTGGCTTCGAATTTGTAGATAGGAGTTTTTCGATGCGATGAGTGCAAGTCTGGTCACGAAAAGCCCGCTCCTGTCTCCAAATAACGCGTGGTACCCCCGGTTAGAATTGAGAATGCGAGTCGCAACATGAGGGTGTCTTTTTGTGAAACCGAAAAAATAAGCACTTTTGCAACAGTATCATAACTAAATGCGGTTAATTTCGGTCAGGTTAGGATTATAACCTTACGACAAGAAAAGATAATACGAATGAAGGGATGGTATTCTCTGTAGCTTGGGGACACATATTCAGTCAGTTTTATGTTCAGCACACCAGAAGCCTCTGTTTATGTAAGGCAACCCGAGAAATGTTTCGATATTCGAAAGTGTGGTGTATGTCTAAAAATTTTTATTATTGCTCTTATATCATTTTAAAACTAGGAACAAGCAAAAGTTATTAATTGTAATCAATATAAGGAAATTTTTATTCAAAGAAAACTCATTCACATTGCTAACAAATTTTATTTTATTCAATTACTGACAATTTTTAAAGTTTAATTTATATTAAGATTGCGAGCAGGTTGTTGCGTCCTGTACAACTGTAACCTGTCTTATTCCACCAAGACCATTAGCTCGAAGAATTTGTTGAACTGTAGCATTTTGTGCCGCTGTCAGACTTCTGCTCCGGCTCATCACATACAGGGATTCTAATAAAATAGAAATTGAATTCTTAAAATATTAAACAGTAACGTACCTAGTCTTTATGAAATATTTACAATTAGAAGGTAGAATCTGCATATCACTTGGTTAGTACATGTACTAACTTAATATCGAAGTAATAACGAGAATCAATCAGAATAAGAAGTGCGCCAGGATGGTGAAACGGGTGACACATGACATTGAAAATTAATTGTATAATCAAAAATACAAGAAACTTACAATATTTCTTTCTGATACAATTAATATTAATAATTATAATTAAGTAATTTGCAATGATAACGCATTGCTCCAGTAGGACATTACCTCGGTTGAAGATTTTGTACCAAATAAAGAACATTTGATCCGTTTTTGGCTGCTTTTTATTGGTTGAATATTCTAAAGGGAAAAGCCCGAAAAATCGACTTACCTCTTTTGTTTGAGCTGTCTATATTGATGCATCTGTAATCAATGGTATAGTTAACATAATCAATTCCAAGTATTCTAAATATTAATGGATCGACAACGTTGGGGTAAACCAGACTTAAAACCCCTTCTCTTCTTCTACCCGGCACCCATGTTACCTCTGCTTCCCTGTCAAACCATATACCGGTGGTTAAATTTTTTTGTANTTACAATCGAAAATTGTAATTTTTGCGTTGTTATAAAAAATTAGTTTTCTCTGTAATAATAATAATAAGGTACCTAATAAAAGTGGCCTCTTGTTTGTAGCTTTTTTATGGAGCCTTGCAAAATCGACGACTGTACGATTAGATAAATGCAAAATTCGAAATTTTCAAAAAAAAAAATTTATTGATAAGAGTTTTTTGTGCATTAAGCATAAATCTGACAACGAAGATGCCTGCGCGTGGCCCTAACTAACTCATGATAAGTCACAAAATAAAACAGAAAAAATTAGAGCAAATTAGAGCTTATTATAACAGGTAAAGGTTTCATCTGAACGATAGATTGCAGGCCAACGTCAGGTTAGGATTATAAGATAGGAAGAGACAACGCGAACAACTGATGGTTTTACCCGGGTAATACGGGGACAAAATTGCATGAAGTTAATTTCTTTTGTTAGTTTAGTGGAGCTTTTCTTTGTCGCATTGGAAAAGAAATGAAAACTAAATTTTAATTTTCAATTTTAAAAAAAGTAATTTTATTATTACGTACTGTCATAAATTACAGAACTGTCACAAAAAATGTTAAAAAAAATAAATACTGCATACTATATTGGTTCCCAAATTGGTAAAAAACGTTTTGATATACTATTGTTGCTAATTTATTTCAAAACCAGTGGGAAATTACATCATAATTTACATTACAATTGTAATCGAAAAACAGAAACATTGATTCAGGAGAGCTCGTTCATCTCGTGCAGGATCTTGCGTCCTGGACAACATGCATCTGTTGTATTCCGCCAAGACCGTTGGCGCGAACAATCCTTTGAACTGTGGCATTTAATGCTGCTGACAAGGTGTTCCTCCGGCTCATTATATACAGAAATTCTAATAAAAATTAAACATGTAGTTAAGATATTAAAGAGTAAGGTATATTTGTATCAAATATTTAAATTTGTGTAGTTAACATCTACTACTCGGTTAGTGCGTCAACTATTAGCTCAAATTTCAAAGTCAATTGAAATTAGAAGTGTGTTAAGGTGGTGAAACGGGTGATGCGCGGCATACGTTTTCTAACCGTTGATACCGTCTTTTGAAGATGAATTCCTGTAATTCCTGAATAAGTAGCAAGCTTGCAGGAGGTTATAGAGCACTATAAACCAAGAAGATTAAGTAAATGTTTCGTCTTCCAAAAATCCCCTGTTTTCCAGAAAAACGTATTTGAATGTACAGTCCGGCCCTGGTAGGGTCACGCAAGGAAATACGACATTGCAACGCTGTATTCCATCAACTACAGCATCTGTCTTATTGGAGTATTTCTTTTGTATTTTGTGTTCTTAATATCATACTTTAAATGGTACTGGACACTATTATTGATGAACAAAGTAGTTATATGATTAATTGTTACAACAATGGGCGCCCAAAGATTATTCTGTGTAGTGGCATAGTAATAAGCTGTTGATATTTACTTTATCAGTGGTTCCACAACCGTCACTGTTTACATATTTCATCATTGAAGTTGCATAATTGTTATCACAATTTCTCGGAACGTTGCCAATTCACACCCAGGACCGGCTGCCGATTGTAATTACTTACAAATTGTTTTGTCTCTTTACTGGCCATGTTATAGCCTATTGCATCTAGTTACACCCTCAAAAGCTTACTACTTATTTCAGAAACACCCTGTACGTAATAGTGTGCTAATATAAAACTGTGCAGGAATTAACTGACTGTCAAAGTGTCTAATTAAAAAATAGAAATAACTAACGGGTCTGCTTTCAATATCTAGAATGTATATGTATATACGTTAGATAATTGTGTTAAAGATAAAGTCTGAATTTTTCTAAATGACGACGTACTATGAGTTGTTTAATTCTACACAATTTTCGGTCCATACGATCATTTAATTTTTCGACACAAATTTAATCATAAATTTTGAGAATAACATGGTTCTGTTTATACGTTATTGCAAAAATCCGAATATTGGTAAATCTTTCTTCTCCAACCGAAATTGTACTTTTCAAAAAGCATTTTAAAATTGTGGAGGTTACTTGACTTACAGTTATTGTAATATGTAATTGATGATTTCTGATTAGGTATACTACATTTTATATTGATTTATACCCAAAACCAATTTTAATAACTCTCACATATGGGTACCAAACTGTAACGGCTGCTGTACCACACCTTAGAATTACCAGCTCATGTACAAATTAAATCCTAAGATTTGTAGCTTCTACAGTATCATACAATATATATACTTATTCTTACCTCTCTTGTTTGAGCTATCTAGGTTGATGCATCTGTAATCAATGGTGTAGTTGACATAATCAATTCCAAGTATTCTAAATATTAACGGATCTCGAACATCGGGGTAAACCAGACTTAAAACACCTTCTCTCCTACTACCNTCAAAAAAAAATTTTATTGATAAGAGTTTTTTGTGCATTAAGCATAAATCTGACAACGAAGATGACTGCGCGTGGCCCTAACTAACTCATGATAAGTCACAAAATAAAACAGAAAAAATTAGAGC